TGACTTTATTTCCAATACCTCCAAATTTTCTCAATTTTTTTCCTCAATTACAATAGGTCGAAAATTGATGATAAATTTGATGAATTTTTGAAAATCGTCATTCTCATGTAATCCAATGGGAAATGGAGGGTTCAGAGCAAATCAGAAATCAGGATATCTTTTCAGTAAAAGATTCAGCAAAAAATATTTTCATATAGAAAATTAAATTGTCTAACTTTTTTGAACACTAAGTGTTTAGTTTATTTGATGAATATTAAAGTTACAGTGCTTCAAAGTCATTTTTGAAAATTATTTTTCGCCTCCTGTGTTATTTCAATGGGAGAGGTTTTTTGAAAAACAATTTTGACTTTAAAGCCCTATAACTTTGTTGAACCTGAAGAAAGATATCAATTTTTTGTTAAATAAAGTTCGCAAATTCAATTACCTGCCTAACTCATATTTTTTGCAAGGACTCGGATGGATGGATATTCTGTCATATGACTTGCGGCAAACCTACCATTTCCCATTGGTTAACATGGGAATGTCGATTTTCAAAAATTCATCAAATTCATAATCAATTTTCGACCTATTGTAATTGAGGAAAAAAATTGAGAAAATTTGGAGGTATTGGAATTAAAGTCAAATTACATTTCCATCAATAGTATAAGTATTTTCATCGCAGGTTAAGTAAATAAAAATTCAAAGGTAAAGAGGCTTTAACACGTAGTTCAATGGGGGAAAAAGGTTGCCAAACTTATGGAGGGGAGTGTAAAATAACAAGCTATGATATAATTAACACGTCGGAAATTAACATAATATTATTCGAATTTACCAATCAACGACGATGTCTTCTTACCTTTTGCATTCGTTCGATTCACTCATTAAACATGTTTAAAGATAGTTTAAAACTAGACTCTGCGCGCAGGGTAGTGTCTTCTCAATACAGATTTACACATGTCTTCTTTGAACTGCGGGGTCCTCCCCTCTAATGTCAATACATGTCATACATCACTAGAGATTATATAGGTTTTAAGCCGATATAAAGATGGCGGTAAAGATAATATACGTATATATAATATATTCAATGCTTTATTGTACTACTGGTAAAAATCCCTTTCGGGTGAGTGTAAAGCAAATAAACATGATAAAATAAAACTAAAACTATACATACAATTACAATAACATACAATGCAAATTTTACATGGCATATAATGACAATATAATGTGATTGACTGATCATTATATACCAACAACTACTGTTAGCCTACATGTATATATTTATATTGATAATATAGTTGATCTCTTTTCAATTATTTCATAAAGGTATTTTGCAAAGGTGATACACATGTTACCCTCAGCATTAAACATATAATAAGCCTTTTCTTCGGTAGTCAATACATTAGATTTGGGCAAATCGAGTTAAACGTATCAAAGTATTCATATCTCATTTTTTCCAATTTTTGACACTCAAAAATAAAATGAGTTTCCGTACCAGTGTTGATTTTACATAATTTGCATTTTCTTTGATCTCTCGGAATTATAGTACAATAACGTCATTTCTAAGGGCGATATAGTGAAATATTGGACCAAGGGCCGAAGGCCCAAGGTCCAATATTTCACTATATCGCTCGCAGAAATTACGTTATTAGTATTATTACCACCGTTAACGACCAGGACTGAAACAGCAAGAAAATCTTACGCATTGAACGATATCTAATTTCCCGGGGAAAATTGCCGGTCCAGAATATATTCTAGACCGGTCCATATGGACCACCACTATGACGTCACACATTTCTCAGGTCGATATAGTAAAATAAACGCCTTCTAAACTAGCACTAAAACCCCTAGAACTGGCCCGGCAAGGTGGTAATAATTGGTCTTGTATATCTTCCTCGCTCTATTTCTAAATTGTGTGCACTTATTTCAATGGCGTCATAGATTTCCTATGTTCAGCGTTCTTTATTAAATTCAAATATGGTTCTTTTCCCCATCGTTGTTTGATATTATTCAGAAATTCTAATTTCCCTTTATTATCATTGACAGTTTTCTCCCAATATTTTATATATCTTTTTTCAAGGATTTTCTTAATATCAAGCGGTTTGCTATTAATGTAATTTGTATCTTGTGATTGAACATATGCCATTATTCTATCAATGTCATAGTACCATGATGGTTGATTATGAACTTTTGATAGTTCAATACTGTCTGCATATGTATTAATTAGTAATGAACTCGTTCCTTCATTTTCTAAATGATTTAAGAATTTAACTTGTTGGTAAAATATATTGATAAACAGAGGGAATCTACCTAACTCACCCATCGTAGCTAAATTACTCGTTTTTCTATGCACCCCTAATAGAAACTCCAAAAAATATAGATGTAGTAATTCCGGTGGAAGTGACTTGTCACATTTCATTTCAAGGCCAAAATCTCTATTTTTCAGAAGATCTTTATTAGTTATTAGACCAGCACCCCAGATTTCACGTCCATATAATAAAATTGGTTTTACTTATATATCAAATTATTTCAGGCACAAAGTTAGGTGTTTAGTAGGTAGTTAGGTGTAAGCATACTTATCAATTTGAATTTCGCCTTTTCTGCCTTTTCTTTAATAAAGATTGCAGCTTGTTTCATCGATCCGTTGGCATGGAATTCCATACCCAAGTAAGCATACTTTGATACGTTTTCAATTACCTGGTCCCAAATGTAGAATAAATCATTACATCGTTTACCACTTTTATTAAACATTTCAATTTTAGTTTTATCCGTATTGATATCTAAGTTCCATTGTTTACAATAATTGTTTAATTTTTTCAATTTTATGTCCATATCAGTTTTATTTGCAGTAATTATGGCTAAATCATCTGCAAATAGCAGGCAACTTATTTTTTGTTTTTGTAATTTTAAGTCTGATTCAAGTGTTAATTCTTCAACAACATCATTTGAAGAATTATAAAAGCAAGGCCAAAGCAGTATAAAAAGTTGACTAGCCTAGACTGCCACCTTTTAATAAAGAATCTTAATAAAATTAATCAATCCAAAGTCAACAATCTAGTCTAAATTGAATCTAATCGATTGTTATACAGCACGCCCGCCGACTGTAAAAATGGGACGGATGGGGAGCAGTCAATTTCTGCTAGAAAATTCAACAAATCTCGACGATTTATTTTTTCGAGAAAAAGTTTACTATTTCATTGTTGAATAGATAGGCGCACGGCGGTATGGTTAGCCTTGTCCAAGTCGGTCTCTTTTACTTATTTTCCCAATTTCTATAATTCAAAATCAGATAAGTAAAAAATACTGACTTGAGCAAGGCTAGGTATGGTGAAATATGTTAGGTCTTCTGAGATGTGACAAGTCAATGTTTTGCTATAAATCAAGCAACAATGGTCTATACGACCTGTAATAAATACTTGTAGGCTAAGTCCTTGGGCTAAGTACTGTAACGTTATCATAACTAAAGCCTTAATCTTTTTAAAATTTGGCCCACTTTTTGGCTTTGAAAATGTTTTTTCATACTTCAAATATGCCCCCCCCCCCCCCCCCGTTGCTTCCCGGATCCGACCATGGGGAGAGATTATTAGATTACACTAGGAAATATCATTTTTCATTATACCTCCATGGTTGCTTATATTCGCTAGAACGAAAGAAAGATGGCAGTACTTGTCTGTCTGAAACACTATTACTCTACATTTGTTCAGAGACATAAAACTGTTTTATATGTCTCTGATTTGTTAAATGTTTATAATTATAAAGTCAAGCCAATGCAATTGCTAATCGTAATCATGCACGAATGATTTCAGTAGAATTAATTTATCGATCTCTATATCTATCAGGCCCGTAGCCAGGGGGGGTTCGCAGGGTTCGGACGAACCCCCCCCCCTGGCCAAAAATTCTTTCAAAATCATGCAGTTTTTCACCATTTTGAGCACTTCTCAAGTGATTTTAGCCATATTTGGGCCAAAATTGTCAAATGTGAACCCCCCCCTGGAAATTTTTGAAAATTGAACCCCCCCCCTTGGCAAATCCTGGCTACGGGCCTGTCTATGGTAATAGAGAGTCAATTGACGGTACTAAGTCAATGGTAAACCCTAGGATGAATCCTAGAGCTGTAGAGTTAAAATAGAAAATATCGTAATGCAACTTTTTTCTCAATAGTAACATGGTTCTGCTTTAAATAGTGACAAATATTTCTGCAATCATTATATTGATAATAATTCCCATCCAATCACCTCAATTCAAGAGGTTATATAATTCAGGCCCGTAGCCAGGTGGAGCGAATCGAGCGGCCGCCCCCCCCCCCCCCGACCGGAAATTCTTTAAAAATCATGCAGTTTTTCACAATTAGCATTTCGATCACTTTTCGCATGATTTTTTGCCAAAAACTGTCAATAAGCTCCCCCCCCTTGGTAAAAGCTTTCCCTTGGTAAACCCCCCCCCCCACCAAGTAAATCCTGGCTACAGGACTGGTAATTGCATTCATGTAGGCCTATCATCATTCCAGCATCATTCATCGTTACCAGTCCCACGCCTAACCATCGACAACGTACAATGAAAATATATAGGCCTACTGATGTGCACATTTATAAGCTGTTTGAAGCAAAAATTGTGATGTAGGTTTTAAAAGTTTTTATTTAAGCAATGTGATGAAGTATTTCATGTTTCTTTCATGTGCATGCTCTTGGCAAGACTTTTAACTTTTTACTTTCGTTCACAGATTCTCAAACAGAGCACGAGTTTTTTAGGTAACTCCACCCACTGTCCATCTGAAAAATTTCCAGCCGGTCAATTATGTGGGTGGAATTGCCAAAAAAATCTTTTAAAACCTACATCAACATTTTTTCTTCAAACATGACATCGTACAGCTAAACTGTACAACCGTATATTTTGTCAAAAACTGTACATTGTCGATGGTTAGGCGTTATTCCATTATTTCAAATTTCCCGCCTCCAACTTTTTTGCACAAGAGTACTTTCGTTTAATTATCGATTCCTTTATTTAGACTTTAAATACTCGACGGTCGGCGGAAAAGTAAGAAGCCATCATGGCTTCAAGTTTTGAAAATTTCTGTGGAGGGACTTTTTTCGTAAGTATTGTGCATAAAAACTCTTAAAAGTATGTATTTGAATAACAGCAATTTCCTTACAACATTATTTAAGTATTTTGATGTCGAGTCGTTCCTAGTTGATCCTGCAAATTGCTCATAATCGAAGTTCAAATAAAATTGAACAATTTTTTCTGATTTTTCAATGGATTTTTACCAAGTTATGAAATATATTTTTATTTATTATTGTTTTTATTATTATTAAAAGAAGACTCTTTTAGTATATCTGGTAGGAGTTCAATGGAAACTCCAGGAAATTCTGATATTTCACACTTTCTATTTTTCCAAATTTTCTTTCAAAGTTTCCAGACAACAGGGGTACCATTGACCTGTTGCCAGGTTTACTAAAAGTAAACAGTGTAATGATACTTTCCTGAAAAAAGCAAGGAAATATACACATGCCTTCATCATACTTAATTTTGTACCAGAAAATAACATGTGCAGGTATAGCAATTTTTTACCAAAATGTTACTTTCCAGCTGAACCTTAAAACATTCGATGTGCATTATCCTGGTTAGTTGAGAACATGCTATAATAAAACGTATGAAACCATACCGATATAACATGAATACTGTAATCTAATTTATGTGCAAAAACTTATTTCTGAAATAAGATCTAGATCAATAAATTCGTCAAATCAATTTGATAAGGACCAAGGCTCTCCAGGGGGCTCTCTCTGTATTCGAGCCATGCATCAGTTATGAAGTCATTAATGTTTCATAAGTTAATCATTATCATTATGTATGATTGCAAGGAGGATTGGCTCCCAGAATCGAAGTCAATATTTTCCAACAATGAAAACGCCGAAATGTCGTTATTTTCTGAAGTTATAACCGATTATAAATTCAAAATAAACAGTTCAAAATATTCGAACCAATATCTCGATCATTTCTTCATTTTCTTGTGAGTTTTGGAATTTTTCGTTAGGAAATAAGACCAAAATTCACGTTTCAAATGTTGAAGTGAACAAAATGGCGGCTGTTGGAATTCAAATTTTGTAGCACGACATGCCCATATATGGGACAGAATATCGATGTTGCACTCTGGGAGCCAATCCTCCTTGGTATGATTGTATGCTTAGTTGCTTGCTATTTATGAAAAGAGCCAGCCAAGTTTCTTGTCTAGTGACTTGAGAAAGGAACATCATAATCTTGTGTGTGCATACAATAGAACCACATGTTATATTTCAAAGTGGAAAATATCGGTGCTAGCCATGGGCATGATTCTTACCTCAATCAATTTTTAACACCAGTTCTCCCAATTAGAGGGCAAAAAATTGCGACTGTCTCAAATTGCAGAGGTATATACTTCAATTTTAAACTTGGTCAGTATTTCAAAATGTTTGCCATTAAAAGTACAAGCAGTACCGAAGTGAGGTTACATTCAGTTTCTGCGGTAGCCGAGTACATTACTAGCAGTTAGTGAAATGAGATTACATCCAATTTCTTCAATACGATTATACCGGATGTAAACTCACTCAGAATGCTCATAATATATTCAGAAATGATACCCGAAGTTGATGGCGAACATTTTGAAATACATGATGATTTAAAGATTGACGTGTATACCTCGGCAATTTGATACAGCCACAATTTTTTGGGCTCCGAGAAAATGCTGGTATTAAGAATCAATTGAGGTAAAGAATATGTGCATAGCTAGCGCCAATATATTTTGACTTTTCAAATATAACTTGTGGTTCTATTGAATGCGTGCAAGACCAAAATGCAGAGATGGTCTTGGCACTTAATAACTGAGAGGGACATACAAAGAAATGTTATTTTATTATTGTAATGCTGTCGTTTTCTTCTGGAACTTTAGTTTATCAGGAAAAGGGGATATCGAAGCATGTAACTTTGGCATGATAAATGATATAACTTGTTAGAAATGAGAACTTCATTTTACACCAAATTTGATAATGGTAAAAATATAAGGCGAGTCTCTGTTCATTCAAAAAAAGGTTTCCCGATCAGAAATTAGAGCTTTATGATAAACAACAAGTTGTCAAAGTTATCTAGAAGTTACTACAAAATGAAACAAAATTACATTAAGGTTCTATCTCCTCACCATAGCACTGCTTATTGCAGCATTAGATCGGATACAATAAAGAACTAAGTAGGCTTGTGTTTAGAACAGTGGAAATTGATTGTGTAACACCTTTATAACAATTGTGTATTAATTAGATTATTTGTTAATACTACTGTATGTAATACAGCTCATTCAACATTTAAAGCTAATTTTGCTTTAAAGTTTTACTTTGCAATGTCTATAACCCTAATTTACACTGTAGATGTATAACTGTTAATATTACATTAATTAATTATCATAATATACAATGTATACTAAACTTATGGAAAAAACTAACAATAATTAGACATTATGAAATATTGTGGAATTACTCCCTAAGTTTTACAGCGCAACATTAGTGGGGATGTGGGGGGGTTCTATGGAGATAATGTATTGAACACCCAAAAACATCATTTATCATGTAAATTCCAGTAATCTGATTGGTTAGTTACCATGTGAGTTTTCCCGTCTCACACGGCTGTCTCACACATTACTAGAGGCAACCATTGATGACGTTTCATATTTTTGCCTTAGATACTGTTGATGATGTCATTACTAAATTGAACGGGTATCATGGAATAAATGGCCTCATGACGTAATAGTGTAATGGAATGGTGTTTTTCATGTAATGAGAAGTAGCCACACAACCTAATGCCCAATCAAGTTACTAGAATTTTACATACAGGAGAATTTTTGGAGTGTAAGGTCGTTAAACCCTCTTGTTTCAGAGTCTAATAGCTTTCCGTGGCCCAAAATGTTTTGTCCAGAGTCTAATTCTACATTTTTGCAACATTATTTGTGGTAAAACTCTTGAGAAAATACATAAAGCTGGATACAAACAAGGAATAGGAAATCAGAAACCTCTTAGAAATGTATAAAGTGATTAAAATAGGAAGATAATCTTAAGTAGTATTTTGAAAAGGATACTCAATAGGATATCTCTGATCTCAAATGGGGAGGGGTAGTCGCGCTACCGCTAAAAATCCAGGGTCTAAAAATTTCTTCGTGAGAACTCTGTGATAAAATCTTCATCAAACGTTTCAGCTTATGTGATATGGAAAATCTTCCACTTATGTAAAAATGTTTACTTTCGTGGATGATTTCCTGTATCAACACTGAAACATATGATAACTGATAAACTGACACTCAACTTAGTCATTATAGATACCATATATACAATGTCATATGTACTATTAAGAAGGTATGAAGCAACCTTTAAACCTAAAACTTAGGGTCACTTTATCACTGATAAAATTTCATTCACCTTCTTAATTCAATACCCTTATAAGAGCAGTTTGTTTAGAATAAGTATTACAAAATGCTATTCATTTCACTTTTCAATGTATAAGGGTAAAATAGGCCAATAATGGGTTAACAGATCTTGAATTGCAGTCATTCCATTTGGGTTATATATTTCTGTATCATGACTAATTGTAAGAACCATATAATTTTTCATTTTATTGCAGCTCTAAGTTCTCTTATACAAATAAAGAATACAATGTAATTTTGTAAATATAAGTTACAATTAATATATATTTCAAAGTCTAGACATTCTTGAGGGAGATTTCTTGTTGTTCTTACCAATGAAAGACTTTTTTCTTGATTGTTCTAAAATGGTAATTAAAAGTAAAGGGTTCTGCACTTAATAAAAATTTGAAAAATAATTCAAGGAAATCACGTCATATTAAAATTTAATCTAAATATATAACCATTTTATTTGACAATATTGTCTAAATATCCATATAAAAATGAAAGATTTTTTCTTGATTGTTCCTAAATGTGAATTAAAAGTATAAAAGGTTCTGCACTTTCTTAATAAAGTTTGAAAAAATAATTTAAGGAAATCACGTCATATCAAAAAATCTAAATACATGTACATGTATTACCATTTTATTTGACAATATTGTCTAACACACACAGGAATTTCGCGTCATAATTATTCCTCCGCTTGGTGCGCTGTTGTGCATAGCAACGTCCTATGCAACGTGTATAAACATCGCGCGGACGTATAAGTACAACCCGTCATTTTTCATGTTTGCAATGAAATTTTCTATTCAGATAAGTGTTTTAAAATTTGATTTTCTTTCATAATATATATTGTTAAATAGGCATGATACATATCATCGTGTTTCTAAAGAATTGCTTATTTTAATCCTGTTTATTTCAAGTTGATAGGTTCAATATTAGTAAAGTTACGGCTTCACTATGGAGGGGCAATTTCTTCGTAAAAAACCGCATCTTCAGCAAAGATTTGACGAAAACACAACATTTTTGCGCCGGTGGCATTTCTTCATTTATGGATGAATCTTTATCAAATTTTAAACACGTTTGAGCTAAATATACAAATTGTGTCTTGTCCGAGGCGGAATTTTAAAATTCAAATTACAATTAGAGAAAAAATAGCTAACCTGTGTCAAGTTTTACTGCTGATTTTCGAAAAAAATATGATGTAATTCCTATAGAGTTGGAAGAAAACGAATTGTTTAAACTGCACAGGATAAAATTATATTAATCCAGATACATGTAAGCTTTATATTCAAATCATTACATACGTTAAAGGGCATCATCAACTACTAGAAAATCGTGTGTAAAGTTGGACAATATTTGACCCGAATTGACTGGCAAAATGGCCGCGCGCTTGCAGCGCCTCTAGCGGAGGAATAATTATGACGCGAAATTCCCGGGTGTGAAATATCCATACAAAAATGTGAAAAACATTACCTAGATTTCTTTATTTATAATTATGAAAATTGCATAAAAATCCTCAACATGCGGATCTACTTTCGATATTCTTTACTTGTTCAGGTTCACAGCTTCACTTACAATCAATAAAATGCATTTTTGCGTAAACTAGAAAATTAAAAAAAACACAAGGCTTTTTCAGTTTACGAGTCTTCACCTCTATCAGCCAATTAGATGCGTCAATTTATGGTGAAATCAGCAAAATTCTGAAATGTACTGTTTTCATTCAGAAATGAAATATCATTCTACTGTACTTCATTATCATATTTATTGGTTTATTTACAACTAGAATTTTTGCAAGTCATTTTTGATACCAGACGGTAAAGACCTTGAACTATGTGTATTTAATAAACTACTTAAAAGTGTATTTTAACATCCTTGATCCAAGGGCATTTCACTTCTTTCCATATGAATTTAATGGTATTATGATATATACCCAGAGCTACTCGGTGGTCAAAATTCTATATAACATATAGTTACCCAATTATTGACCCATAAGTACTAAGTAGATCTTAACTCATACTTAAGATATTATACATGTAGATGGCTGATAGAATGAATAAGTAAGTTTCTTTAAGTGTATTGAGTGTTGACCTATTTACATGTTGTCATCAGCTAATATTAGCAATGTCATCCATCAAAGTAACTAGATGGCAGAAATATAAACATTTTTGATGGAGTACACTTGCATATCAGTCTTATCAGATACAAAATCAGAGTTGAGCTGATTCATTAAAGAGATCGGGTCTCCTAAAAACACAATTAGAGTAACCCCCTGATTTTTTTTGTGTTATTTGATGTAAAACAAGTTTGTTTATCAGCTTATCAATTCTGAGGCTTGAAAGAGGCTTGAAAGAATCAATATTCACTTTATTAGAACCATAGTACATGTATAGTTATTTTTTTATTCTCTCTCAATGAGCCCCATACTTTCTGTGTCATCAATGTCAGTAATTGTGTCACTTTGATTGATATATGTGTCACTTTGATATATGTGTCACTTTGATATATTTTCAGGACCTGAATCAAACTTGGTATACAAATGACCCTGAGTTTAGTGAATGCATCCAGGACAGTTTACTAGCATGGGCCCCCTGTGGCTTATTATGGGTGCTACTTCCATTTTACACATGTTATATACGGGACTCAAAATTGGTGCCCATTGCAGTCAACAAATTAAACACTATCAAAACAGTAAGTAACTTTATTATGTTTTTATATTATATTATATTGTTCTAAGATTATTTTTCATGTTTTATCAATATGAATAAAATGAGGAAAAAAAGTTCATCAAAGAACTAGAAAAATGTGTAATTGTTTTTAGAAGTAATACAATCTATACTGGAAAGTACAAGTAATTCTCATGTATTCACTAGTACTACTAAAAAAGAATAAAACCATGTTGTGTTGTGTTTTTTCCAGCTATTAAGTTTATTCCTGGTGTTTGTCACACTCATAGATCTGTTTAAAGGTGTCAGTGACCTTGGAACTGACCCTCCTCCAGCACATATACTACTCGTCACTCCAGCCGTGCTTACAGTCACATTTGTAAGTATCAGCGTTGAATTAAACTAAGGCCCATAGCCAGGGGTGGGGTTAAATGGCCCTGGAAAAAAAAATTTCACAATTCTGGGCACTTTCAAGTGATCTTGAGCCAAAATGATTAAATGTGAACCCCTCTTGGAAGCTTGCTATGGGCCTGCTTAAAACATAACATAGTAGTCCGCACTTGGGAATATTATATCAAAATTTGAGGAACGATAGCCAGAGATATATATTTTCGAGTTTTTGTCCTGGGTACTAATGGCCTGTCTTGCGAATTATTCATAAATAGTCAGTACTGTTACAAACAGGTTGTGACATAAGGATGACTTAATGATCAAAAATAAACTAAGCTCTAACTTGCTCCAATCCTTTTGGTTGGCACTAAAGGGGTGGTCACGCTTGCTCCGATCTTCAACACCGGTGCCCAGCCAATGAGCATTTTGTTCAAAACTGAATGCAATTTTGAAAAAAATGCTCATTGACGAGGCACCAGTACTGAAAATCAGAGCAAATGAGACCACAACATTAGGACAAACTCTAGTTCCTAAACTCCATGTTTTCAGATTCTTACAACCATATTAATCCAAGTAGATCGAGTGAAAGGATGCGTCACCAGTGGTCCTTTGTTTATATTCTGGTTCTTCCTGACTGTTGCTGGGATACCAAAGTTTCACTATAAAGTCAAACATGCAGTCAATGATGTAAGTACATATATGAGCGATTATCTGAATTTTGCAGCGTGAATCCTTTTGTTTTCGAAATCTGATGTTCTGTAATTATGTTTCTGCATGAATAGAGGTTATTTAATGGGAGGGATGCAATATGAATTTTATTCCGAGGGAAAATATTATATTGGCCAATGAAAATGTCATATTGACCATATATTGCCTGAGTGTCAATATGATATTATCTGAGGTCAATATCATATTTTCTTGTGGAAAAAATTCATAGTCCATCATGACCATCACTTAGGAAAATTTATAATCATTAAATCAAAGTCACTCAACTGATATCCAGATCATTTCATTGTTCTGATATCATCTGTGTCAAATTATAACTGATTCAAGATCGTTGCACTGAACGAACCTATATGCCAATTTGTTATTTGTTTAGTTGTTGGTTGGGTAACATGTTTATGACGTCACAAATGATGCGAAGAATCGTTAAACCAATCAGTGAAGTCTATGTAAATTGTTTGTTTAGTTGTTGATGCGGCAATACGTGTCTGACGTCACAGGTGATTGCATCATATTCCAGTCACGCCATTTTACGACATTGCATAATTTAAGCTGATTTTGGCTTCATTTCACTTTATTTGAAATACTTTTAAAAATATAATAATGAGTCAGTATTTTTTTTAATAAATATTAATATTTGAATTTGAGGTCAAAGTTCGAAAATTTGATCAACTGATTGAAATCACATTTTAAAGAGGTGAAGAAGTGAATAATTACAGGAGCAAACGTGATCAATGGTTCGAGGTCTCCCGCAAAGTAGTCGCTACGCTCCTACTTTGCGCTGCTTTCGGCAGAGGAGACCTCGAAAAAATCGCTTGAATTAATGTAAATTAACCCGTTCCAGGGGAGGATTGACGATGAGTTCCGATTCGTTACATTCTTCATCTACTATGCATTGGTGTTATTACAACTTATTCTCTCATGTAAGAGTGACACCACCAGAAGACCAGAATATGATCCAATGGAGGTATGTAACAACTATTCTCATTGGCTGGCAGGCCCGTCAGATACTTTTCTCAATGGGGGGTGTAGTTTCACAATTTGCTTTAAATGCTGTCTGTTTTCATGAAAATGACTGAATAACACCGTAATAGACGAACCTTGTACACTGCATAAAAGAAAAACAGCTTATTAAGATCCATTCCTGTAAATGTCTGAGCACAGCGTAAAGTTAGGAAGATAATTTGATGACTTTATTTCCCATGGATGTTTTTCAAGATTTCTTAGGGGTGCGACCCAACCCCAACCCCATCCACCCCCCAACCCCCATCTGATGGGCCTGGCTATCCACATTACTCTGACCATTACAGTTTTGATGTTGTCAGAATCTGTAAAATCTTAAATGTAGCTTTCACAGCCTTTTATACAAGTTAGAAAATCTGAATCATAGGAATGTCCTACAGAAAGATTGATTTTTATTTCTGAACTTTCTAGCCCGTTTTAACTACAAAAGGAGTTTTGTATCACTGTTTTGTAACTCATTTCTATATAGGGAGTTATATGACCACACTGCTCTTTACAGAATCATTTTCATAATTTTATTAATTGTTCAGTACGTGATACCCCTATCTTTAATAGCTGAAATCTCTTGTTTGGTTTGTGATGATTTGTTGACAGAGAGGCTATAGATAATATGTGCCACTGATATGTCTGATAAGATGGGATCCTAGTGCACTGATTTCACAACATGTTCTCTTGTACTTCACTATGAATTAAAAGTTGCGATTTTCAGGTCATATTTTCACAAGAATTAGGCCTTATAGAATAGATATGACATGCAAATTTGTATATTTTAAAGTTAGAAACCTGTTTAAATTTAGTCCTATTGTATTCAGATATGAAAATAGCACGGAGACTGAGCCTGTAAAACCTTGAAAATTTAAACAAAGATTTTTTGTGTTAGAAGCCATAACATAGGAGCCTACGTGAATATATTAAACACTTTACTTTTTAATATCAAAACCAATACCAAGGATGTAGAGAGTCTAGAATAAAAGTTAACGTTTTTTTTAAATCAGAATCCTACCTTAGATATTTACTGCACTTAACTAGTTTATGTACAAACTAAACATAACCTGACATTTAAAGTGTGCAATTTTAATTTATATCTATAGAACTGCCCCTTGTTCAACTTTGACCTTACAACGTTTTTTTGAATAATTTGATTTTATTTAAACCTTTAGAATGTTCTCCTCTTTAAAGTGCATAAAAAGGATGGAGAATGAAGCGATTTGTACATTTATTGTGTCAGTGTGTCGCTTGCCTCCATAAATATAATAACTGAATAACTGTTTGGGATTCATGACCAAATATGGAAGAAAAAAGAGCACATCTTTTCAGATTTACTGGTAAATAGCTTTAAAATCGAAGCCAGGTATATTGGATTTTTAGAGAGCTAAAAATGTGACAAAGAAAGCTATTAACAAAGAAAATGAGATGATTGTTAATGTTGTAATTGTTAATGTTGTAATTGTTAATGTTGTAATTGTCAAGTAACGTTGTCCTCAAATTGTCTCCTATCTTAACTGCCCTACATAACCAAGGAGTCAAAAAATAATGCTAATACTAAAACCTGTCTAATTCGAATGCTTCTAAGGCCGACAAAAAGTACTACGGTTTGCAGGTGCTCATATATTGATGGGTTTTAATATGGAAGTCTATTTGCAGATTACAAAATATGGACATGGGCTCTCAATAAAAGGTGTTCAAGTTTGAGAGTTGATCTGATTAGAAATTTGTTCAGATTAGAGAGGTGTTCAGATATACAGGTTTTACTGTACATGTATATTAATGGTTTATGTGTTTAAAGAGGTTATCAGTATTGATAGCAATGGGATGTCATGTTAACTTATCATGACACTGTTACATATGTATACAAGTGCATGTAACATACTAACTTAAAAATGGTATCTAATATTGTAACGGATTTTGTCTCACATTATAAGCATATGCATTCACACACTCGTCCATCTGTCCTTCATTCTGTCTATCCGCCTATCTGTCTGTCAGCCCTTTTCAGATGTCAAACGAAAACTGTCATCCATAAAAGTTTAAATCACCATAAGAAATTGTGACATATTGTAAATAACATTTATGGTCTCCATCTTTTTTGGATGGTGTTCGAAGTTTGGTGTTTGTAACAATTTGTGTTTGGTGTCTGTAACAATTTGCAATAACTTACAAGGTGCTTACACTTTGCCATGCTAATGCTGTGTTATATTATAGTTTAGATCCCTTTTATGCATGACATTTTACATGTAGACCTCCAGGCAACTTGTTTAAGTAAAAAAAACACTTAAATAACTATGATCAGATTGAAAAAATGCTCCACTTTCAGAATCTTTTTAGCGCATAATGATATACTTCCTTACCCTTGACCTATTATTACAATTTAGAATACATGTGCACGTACAAAGTTGCAATTCATCCTATAGAAACATAAAAAATGTTTGTGACTTGACTTGCATAAATGTCTGGGGTTTTCAGTAGAACGTTTATCAGCTAGAACTAGAAAGTAAACAACTTTGACTCAGTTTTAAAATCTATATTTGCACATGTCATTGTTACTCTTTTGTCAAGCCTTTTTTCTCATACATAACTTTTATAGGGATGTAGTTTCATAACTTGATTACATTGATCTTAACTATGCTTAAACTGGTTAGATATGCTTTATTCACATCTTTTATGGGAGTAAAATACATATTCTACTTTTGATATTTGGTTTATCAGGGGGTGCAAGTTAAAAATTCTTTCAAAATCATGCAGTTTTTCACCATTCTGATATATTATGATAAGTGAACCCCAGTTGGCAAAAGCTGGCTACAGGCTGGCCTGAACCATCAAGTCTACAGATAATTTCTCTGATTGTTTGCCCAATATCTCAAATTGTACTGAGCAACTTTAAACAACCATGTTAAAACTATAAAAAAGTATAATTTTCAATTTATCTGTTGTTTAAATTCAATTTGCCTGTTGTGGGAAATTATAATGACACCCCCTTTTATTATACATTTAATTGGCTCAAAAATTCTTTTGAAGGGGTCACATGTCTTGTTTATTGCTTCTCAACTTCCATTGGTTTAACAGATCGTTAAATGAATCATGAATTAAGTAAAAAAGTGTATCAAGTTTCACGTGATTGATTCATATCACGAAAAGGTGAATGAATGAAAAAAGGGACCGATTGATCACATGAACATTTTTTACCTTTTCAAAAAAAAATTTTATTTGAAATCTGACAACCTCTTGACATGTGATTGCACATTTGACCTTTGGTTTTCTCTTTCCCCCCAAATGAAACATCTTATGTGTGAACACCTAATTTTAATATCACTGTGAAAAACAGTTGGTAATTAGACAAATTAAGTCATGTGCCAGGTTGTCCAAAGTCCATGGAATGCTCTTCAGTTATTTATTTATTTTTTGAAATATTTATGAATGGGTAACCTTGATTGAAGGTAATTCTTTGACCTATGTCTGTGAACTCGCCATGTATGTCAACATTTCTCGTATGAATACCTTGTATATGTGAACATTTTATATGATTTTGTATTTTAACACTCCTTTATTATTACCTCCTTTATTTTTACACCTTATTCTTTACTAAACCACTTCTTATGTGTAAACATCTCTTATGCTATAATAAATTTCCTCGTATTCAGGTGAATTTGTGCCGACTCATTGTTTTTCAAAGTAAACAGGACTTTTCAGATTTCTGACTATTTACACTGTAATTTCAAATCACGATTCATCCTTATTTTTCTTTTTAACCCTTTAGAGACCAAGTCCTGAGATCCAAGCATCATTCCTGTCATATCTTACCTTCTGGTGGTTGAACAAGTGAGTAAAGAGTTAATAATTTCTATAAATAAGAAATTAACGAAGATATTCTGTATGGACTATCAGAAAGTAAATAAAGGTTTGTTCATGGTAAAAAGTAGAAAAACTAAACAAGAAGACGAGCCAAATTGAACCAAATGTTGATTTCCATTCAATGCAGGCCAAGGAAACCATTTGGCTTCTAGCCATACATGTTGCAAAAATCTTTCAGAATTTAAACAAATAAAGAACCCTTAAAACAAATATTGTTACACCATCAAGAAGTGGTGACATATTGTTGAATCCACAATTTTTGTGACTGAAGTTTCAGAAGTTGGTTTTCATTATTTGTAACGTAGTGATACATTTTGTAACCATTTGCAAAAACTTACCAGAGCAGGTGGCATGTTGATTCGTTAATGCCATGTTTTTATTTAATTTTAGACTTATCCTGACTGGTTACAAGAAGACGCTAGAATCGGGTGATTTGTGGGATATGAACCCTCGTGATGTGACAAAAAACAATGCACCTTATTTCTTAGAGAGCTGGAACAAAGAACTTGAAAAAACAAAAAGGTAAAAAAATGTTATGGCAAATAAGAGGGTTGAGGAAATCAAAGGGACATGTTGCACCCACTAGAAAATTTCAAAAAATCATTTAAAAAATTGTAGATTTTTTTCCAGCCTTTGGAATTTATTTCCAAGAACCTCCCTTGTTTTATAGCTTTTGTATGAGTCAATGTTTGGTAAATTAAGGATCTTATATTACATATCAGAAATTTATTAACATATCTCAATACTTTTTTGGCATCAAAATTCAAAATGCATATTTGTTATTAGTTTTAATTGTGTCTGCTTTTACAATGTTGCTGTATGACTTGGCCAAATGAGGATTAACGTACAAAAGAGCTTACCAGAATATAACATATTAATTCTTAACTCTTATTTTAGGAAAAATGAAAAACTGGAAAGTAAACTCAAACATCAAAAATCCAGAATTGTCCATGTTGATGTCGGGTTTAATAAAGATTCCAACGAGACCACGCCTCTTTTAACAGGATCTGGATCAAAGAAGAAATTCACTGAGCCCAATGAGCCAGAAGTTGTCCTCCCAGAAGGTGATAAAAACTTTGATAATATTCAAAGGAGAGCTTTACCCAATTACTTGTATCCAAGATTGGCGCAAATGAGTCGCATACTCAAACATTTTCCATGTTGATGTACTTAAATATCACTCTGAAACACTGGTCAGTTTTATGTCACCACCAGAAGTGGTGAAAAATTGCTTTTTTGTGGACAGCATCCAACAGTTGGTGTTCGGCAGTCGGTGTAACAAATGGCAACTGGTGACATTTAGCATGTTAATGGCTTGTTGTAAAAGCAATAATTGCAAACCCAAATAAAATGAGCTGTTATGGCTGGTGGAAAGTTGTGAGCAAGCTAGAGAGCCAATTGGGATTTCTGCCCACAATAGACCCATAACCTTAACTGCTAGACTATAATGCTTAATGCAACAGGCAGTATCTTGTGTATATTGATTGTATTCATATGAAGTCAAAATAAACGTAATGAAATGAAAAAAAAATGAAATAAACTTATAACATTTCTGTTTTGCAGATAAAAAGAAGACGCCGAGCTTATTCTGGGTGCTTACAAAGTGTTACGGCCCAACTATGATGAAGGCATGGATGTGCAAGGTTATATATGATCTCCAGCAATTTGTAGGCCCCACCCTACAGAGGTACGATCATTAGAGGTTTGCTCAAAGATTTAAAAGTTAAACAAACTGTTGATCCCGAAATCACAGGAGAAATTTGTTTCAGATTTTATCAAGAAGTATAAATGAATGAATTATGTTTAAATTTTGAAAATGTTTTTAGAAATATTATTTTGGTGCGATATTACCATTATGTGAACAATACCTGAGCTCAATAGTGCTAGATTAGTTCTAGAAATTGTTACAGTACTGAGATCGAGGTCAATGTCACAGCGTTATACTATCTTGTAAACAAAACTAACTGAATGACTCATTAACCCTTGACCATCTAGTACTGTAACAAAATATACATCATATTTGATTTAACATATTATGTTATGTATCAAGCAACAATATGAACATTAAAAATGATCAGAGACTATCGTTGCTTTTGGTTAAAATTTTGGGTAGAGAGGGGTACCGTACCTAAGGCTACATGTTACTTGGTCCATGTGGAAAGAGTCATTGATATTTTGACCCCTTTTTCTGATTGATCTTTATACGTGTATAGAACATAAAACAATTTTTGCTTTGTTTAGTTTATTGATCGGCTACACTGAAGACCCAAATGAAGAAATCTGGAAAGGGTACATCTACGCAGCAGTATTCCTTGTGAATGGCGTGGTGCAATCCATGTTCTTCCATCAACTCTTTCACATTGGGATGACCCTTGGCATGAGAGTGAAAGCATCTATCATCTCTGCTGTCTACAAAAAGGTAGGGCATTTACCCTTTTCATTAGATTTGCTTATTAAGAAGAAAGCTTCAACTACGCTCTTTGATTAATGGATAAATCTCTTGATGTAGCCTCACCCAATCAGAATTGGTCATTCAAAATCCAGCTACCAAATCAGAATTACAGAAGTAATTCAGTTTATTATATCTCCACCACAAGTGGTGACATATTGTTATAGTTACCAACTTTTTTGTGGATTGTGTTTGATGGTTAGTGTTTGACGTTTGGTGTTTGCCATCTGTAACAAATGACAGGTGGTAATATTTTACACGTTAATGCCACGTTTATTATTTTAAAGTGATGATATTTAGTTTATTGCATATTTATATATCATAATAGGATCTGATTGTTTATGTCTGCTACTTTTGCTTCATAATCTCATAATAAATTTATTTGCAAACTTAAGCTATCCCACAATCCCACAATAACAGCGCCATCTATCTTACTCACTAAAATCAAATAATTTCATTATTTATCAATTTTCTATGAAGGCCCTGACCATGACTAATGAAGCACGTAAAGATTCAACTGTTGGTGAAATTGTCAACCTGATGTCAGTGGATGCCCAGAGATTACAGGATGTCATTGGTGAGTTATTAAATGATGTCATAAGAGTGATCTTAATTATCCAAAATTGAAGAGAAAGGTACCTTCCTTGTTCCAAGGCCCGTATTTGCCCTCATGGAATCATTAAAAGAATCTGATGTTTCAGCTCTGATTCAATGTGAAATGCATTTCAGTACTCTGTACCACACAAATACTGATACCCTGTAATTTATTTGAGAGTTACAGCTGTTTTACCGATTCTGACATCTTTTTTTCTTTTTTCCTAGGATACTTGTGGATGTTTTGGTCAGCTCCTCTTCAAATTAGCCTTGCCGTATATCTTTTGTGGGGAGTGCTCGGTCCTTCAACCCTGGCTGGGCTAGCTGTCATGATCCTCCTAATCCCAGTGAATGGTGTACTCGGGGCGTACCAGCGTAAACTCATGGTGACGCAGATGAAACTGAAAGATGCGAGGATTAAACTGATGAATGAAGTCCTGAATGGGATGAAGGTGGGTCTAGTCTTAAAAACTGTTTTTTTTAAATCTGAAAGAACTCAGTAATCAATGTTTCCTCAGAAGGTTTATTCCCTCGTTGGTACAAAATTTTCGTTTCCACAATTTTGAAAGATTTTGCTAAGTGGTGACTTATAATGGTGTGTAATTTTTTGTCACACAGTGTTCGGCATTTGGCGTTCAGAATTTGACATTTGTAATAAATGGCAGGTGGTGACATGTTGCATGTCAATGCCTTGTTTCCATTTTTGAATGAGTGCAATCAAAAAATTTTAAAATCTGAAGTGGGAGAAGTTTGACTAATGCTTCAGTGTTCATTTGATCACTGATTCATTAAATAACAGTCGGAAAGTGACTGCAGTATCAGAGAGGGATAGCTAAAGACATTTTATGAGTTTTTCAGTCAACCATACTTAACAAACAAGTAATATTTGCATACAAATGAGATATCAATGCTACACTACACAGATATTTACCAGACCCCATGATACTGTGAGCTTGCTCGGTGGTATCATGGCTAAGGCAACTGGCTATGTGAATTAATGAGCTTAGATGTATATTCAGCTGAATGTGGATCCTCAAAGGCTTATGGTACGTCAAGGTACTTGCACTCCATACACTTGATACATAAGTGATCTCTTTTTGCCTTCAGGTTTTGAAGCTGTATGCCTGGGAGTTATCATTCCAAGACAAAGTGAATGTGATCAGAGAGAAAGAATTGGCCAATTTAAAGAAGAGTGCCTACCTCTCAGCTGTTGGGTCATTCACTTGGACCTGTGCCCCATTCTTGGTAAGAAATGTTCCTGTGTATGATATCTTAACCACACTATACAAACAAGTCAGTTCTACACTTTTTGAAAAATAAATTGTGCACATTACATAGTGACACATTTTGACCTTGTTTTGTTTAATACATTTATATACTAAAATGCCAATATAAGTTTTTTGAAGGAGTCAAATCACTTGATATACAACACCTTTATATATTATGTCCAGATTGCTTTGTTAAGTTCAAATTTCGAAAAATAATTACATAATAAGTGTATAAGTACAAAATAAGTGTATGTCATAATCAAATTTTATCAACAACTATATTTTTATTTTAGGTTACCATAGCAACATTTACTACATACGTAATTGTCTCACCCGAGCACACACTAGATGCTAGCAAGGCATTTGTCTCTTTGTCACTGTTCAACATACTGAGGTTCCCCATCAACTTGCTGCCTATGATGATCTCCTATATAGTTATGGTATGTTTTATTTAGTCATATACATGTAGGATGACCCTAAAAAGAAAGAAAAATGAACTCACGTTTTTGGTCAACTAAAAGACTATTGATGCTGCATGAGAACATCACTCTTTGCTTCATTGAGCACTCTTTCTACACATGTAAATACAGACTTACAATTTCATATCTTCATAGTAACTGACACATTAAAAATCTGCAAGTATCAGTTTGAGAATTCATGACGAATTTAGAATATTCTGATCAGATTTGAACATTTTAGATGTAAAAACTCCTCAAATATCAAAATAATTTTTGATAATGTCTAATGGTGGTTCCAAATTATGTATCACTTTAAATTGTTCAAATTGAAATGCATTATTTGTAAAACAATTTTATTTTTAGGCTAGTGTCTCCATTAAAAGACTGGGTAAATTCCTGAGAACAGGTGATCTGGATCGCGATAATGTTCAACACAACCCACGATCACGTAAGTCTCCAAATATAAGAGCTTTAAGTTCAATTAGCTTGAATGTTCATATTGGAAGAAAAATACATGTAATAACTCCAGACAAGAGTTCAGAAAATGCATGTTTGATATTACAGTCATATTTCAAAAATAGATTTTTGGCTCAACAAAATTTTTGAAAATAAGAAAAGAACTAGGAACGCAGTGCTCGCAGAAAATATAATTCACTCATTAATATTGTAAAGTGTTCAGTAAACACCTGAAACATTTTAGCCAAAATATTATTCCCCAATTCTCTTTCTGATTCAAAATAATATAACCTCTGTCAAATTCAAAGCCATGTGTGCTACCACACACCAATGCCTCATATAAGGAAATATTTATTTGATGTTGTTTGTTGCAGCTGATCCTATCGCTGTTGAGGATGGAGTGTTCAGTTGGGGTCAGAAGGATCCTATTGTCCTGCAGAAGTAAGTTAATCCTCAATTGGTATATGATAAGTCATCAGAAATTGTCAAAAATGATATTTCCTAACATCATGATGGAGGTCTTGTATCTCAATTTTTCTCAATCAACTCTATCCTTGATTGATTCCAAATTATCAGAAATTATCTAAATGTCAAAAATATTTCCTAGCATCATGTTGGAGGTCTTGTATATCAGTTCTCCTCAATCAACTCTATCTTTAATTTGTTTTTAATTATCAGAAATTTTCTAAATGTCAAATATATTTTGTAGCATCAACCTGCGTATAAGTGATGGAGGCCTTGTGGCAGTGGTTGGCCAAGTGGGTGCTGGAAAAAGCTCATTGATTTCTGCATTGCTCGGAGAGATGATTAAACTTAAAGGACGTGTCAATGTTAGGGTAAGTGAAAATATCTGAGTATGCAAATTAGCTCAATTTATTTTGAAAGTTTTTGCTCATTATTTCGCTTTTGTTGTTATGGCATCAAAATATTCATATTTACATCATTGTATTGTGGTGTGAGTTTATCATAAAAGTGTTTTAAACGACATTATCTTTTAATGTGATGTCATCAGTTTATGTGTATTTGGTGTAATTTCTGCCATAAAATCTAATACCGTTGTGAATGCAACATCACATGTTTTTGTTTTGTCCATATTATGTCACTAAATGTACATGCAAAAGCAAGCTTCACTATTTCACTTTTCAAGTTTTCTCACCCCCAGCCCACCTTTACTGACTTAAAAGGTTAGTGTACTCCATGAATTAATTAATAAGTAGAAAAAAAATATTCTTGAAATTCTTAATCAAGAACAACAAAATAAACAAGAAAAGGTTATTTTACAGGTCAAACTGGAGTCTAGGAGGTAAAACATTGGTATATTTGCATGCCTTCTATAATGCATTGTCAGATGAATATTCCTTTAATCATTTTATTTGTATACATTTACATGTAATTGTATGAATAATTAGATAGGTGCATGTTTCTGCTTGCAATATTAATATTGACAGTGTTCTCATATGGTTGTACAGTGATACCTGTAAAGTGGAACACCTCTTTAAGTGGAACACCTCCCAAGTGGAACACTTTTTTTAGAGGTACCAAAGGTGTTCTACTTAGACAGGATTTACTGTGATCACCTTTTGAGACCACCTTCAAGAGACAAAATTTTTGCATCATCTTACTTAAACCCCTGCCTACTTCTCATCGAGGGTCTCATCGGCACCAAGCAAAGTCTGGTAAATGAGAAATGAAACAGTGCAAATTACTAGTAATAAGGGTTTCACTAGATTTGAAACCAGTTTGAACAAGCAGCTTTGAACAAGCAGCAAGGCATACTTTGAAAATACTGCTTTTACATTGAAGTTGTCATTTTATTCCATTCCTCCCTGCATGTTCATATTAATGATGCGTGTATTAATATCAATTTTAATGTATTTATGTGTTCATATACATCCATGTACTGAACAATACAAATGTCTGTCTATTATGGATTCACACTTGATAAAATGATCTGATTTGAGTAAATATCTACTAATTAGAAGTTAGAACACATTTGAAACAAGCAGGAAGGCAGATTTTGAAAATGGCAAATATCTAAATATTGACCTTGGAATGACATTGACCCATAAACTTGACCTTAATCTCAAGTCACCTAACCAATGGTCACAAAGGGTCACATCTGCCCCCTAATGCCTTATAAAATGCCAAATACCTTGATGTTGACCTTGGAATGAATTTGGCCCATAAAGTTGACACAGTAGCCCCAAAATGTCTTAAAATGACAAATACCTAGATATTGATTGAACTTGACCTATGATCTTCATAGAATACCCATTGACCCACTTAGTATGTTGACTAAGAATAATGACCCAAGGTTGAATGGTCTCGGAAGAGACACAGAGAGAAACGGATGACCATGCTTTATAATAATAATGAGAATAAAATGATACAGTCTGTACACAAACTTTGGAATTTAGTTATTATACTTTTAAAGTTCAATTATTAATTTATAGGGTTCTGTGGCATATGTGGCACAGCAGGCATGGATCCAGAATGCAACAGTGAGAGACAACATCCTGTTTGGAAAGGAGTATAACCAGATTAAATATGAGAAGATCCTAGATGCTTGTGCCCTCAGGGCTGACTTAGACATTCTCCCTGGAGGGGATCAGACAGAAATTGGAGAAAAGGTAAAAATGTTTAATGCAGACAAAACTATCTAGAAATAGAGATAGTGTAATAAATGAAATGGGAAGGAATTGTATTATTTATGTTGGGTATGGCAAGTGATTTTAAACATGGAGTAAGATGCTAATAGTGTTTAAATGAAAATTATTGATATATGGTAAGAAAATCGTCATACTCATACTCAGAATCGCTTGCTGTACCATACATGGTCCTTTAAAAGTCACACTCATTATCCTCAACTTGTCACTTTGCCTGCTAAAATTTCAAAACAAGCTTCATTACAGTTAATTTACATACAACCCCCACCCCCAGGAAATATAAGGGATATGTTCATTTCGTAAATTGCCGTACATCACACTGAAATGTGTTTATAGGGTATTAACCTTAGTGGAGGACAGAAACAGCGAGTGAGTCTAGCACGTGCTGTCTACAACGATGCTGACATCTATTATCTTGATGATCCACTGAGTGCGGTAGATTCTCACGTCGGAAAACATATTTTTGAAAATGTGATTGGACCAAAGAGTATGCTGAAACATAAGGTATGGTACTCAGTGTATAAAGTATTTTTTCGGGGATGTATTTATGGAAAGATAAATGCATGAACTTGTATGTTTGACTCGTAGTTATGATGATCACTTTCAAGGGTTGTTTAACAGTTTTTACATTTTGAATCTTTACATTGTGAATAAATCTGTAAGTTTACAAGTTTATTTTTGTAGCTTGGTCAAAATTTCAGTTTCTTTTCTCAGTGATAGTACAATTAATTTAATGAAAGAGTATCCCCCACCCTTCTCTGTGTAAATTGAGTTGACAAGAAATGAACACTATCACCATGATTAAAATATCGGTTCTTTAGCTAATATGGGCCTAGTCCCAATACTGAATTGGTTTAGTGTCATGTTTAAATCATCCCATTACATACTCAAGCTAAGGGAATACAAATGCATTTCATTCTATTTCAGACCAGAGTATTGGTTACCCATGGTGTCCATTGGTTACCATTCGTTGATCAAGTGGTCGTCATTAGCGACAATCAGATCTCTGAAGTTGGCTCTTATGAAGAATTGCTGAGTCATAATGGAGCTTTTGCACAATTCTTGAAGACCTACCTCACCCAAGAAATACAGGAAGAGGAAGATGAGGAGGGAAGTGGAGGCGAACTGAGTGAAGCTGATGTGGAATGTAAGTGCATGTGTACTTAATAATCCCTTTAAACCCAAGAATGTAAGTGCATATGTACTTAATAATCCCTTTAAATCCAAGAATGTAAGTGCATATGTACTTAATAATCCCTTTAAATCCAAGAATGTAAGTGCATATGTACTTAATAATCCCTTTAAACCCAAGAATGTAAGTGCATATGTAGTTAATAATCCATTTAAACCCAAGTGGGCGTTTTACTTGTCCCCGTCCCCATCCAAATTTGATTACTTTGATGTTTTATGCTTTTTGACATGAGTTGTTTTTATGTTATGTCAATTCAGGAAGCTAACCCATTTATTCATTGTTGGGGTCCTTAGGTAGAAACTACGCTATTTTGGCTTAATGTATGATGTCATACATTTCAGGAAACAGTGTTTACAATATTTTTTAAGTTTAAAGAAGTTTTTGAAAATTGCAATAACATAGTCCAAGAATCCTAGTGCTGCCCTGAAATTGTAAAAATGATATCCTAACCAATATTTGATTCACTATATTGGTATATTGTTTGAATATTTGATTAAAGCTCTAATCGACAGCATAGATGAAGAAGTCTCTGCTGTAGAAGAAGAATGTAAGAAACAGACAACTATTCATTACTCAGCACATAACAATTACAGTAAAACCTGTATAAGTGAAATGCATTTGCATTGGATACCTCATGATAGTGTTCTACTTAGTAGGTGTTCCTCTCGAGGTTCATTTCCGCTTATGGAGGTGTTACACTAAAAGAGGTTCATTTACAAGAGAAATGTAAGGGATGGGTAATGGGCCTTTGATAAGTGTTTCACTTATGGAGGTGTTACACCAAAAGAGGTTCATTTACAAGGAAGATGTAAGGGATGAGTAAAGGGTCTTTGATAAGTGTTCCGCTTATGGAGGTGTTATACTAAAAGAGGTTCATTTACAAGAAAGATGTAAGAGATGGGTAAAGGGCCTTTTATAAGTGTTCCACTTATGGAGGTTTACACTAAAAGAGGTTCATTTACAAGAAAGATGTAAGAGATGGGTAAAGGGCCTTTGATAAGTGTTCCGCTTATGGAGGTGTTATACTAAAAGAGGTTCATTTACAAGAAAGATGTAAGAGATGGGTAAAGGGCCTTTGATAAGTGTTCCGCTTATGGAGGTGTTACACTAAAAGAGGTTCATTTACAAGAAAGATGTAAGGAATGGGTAACGGGCCTTTGATTAGTGTTCCACTTATGGGGGTGTTACACTAAAAGAGGTTCATTTACAAGAAAGATGTAAGAGATGGGTAATGGGCCTTTGATAAGTGTTCCACTTATGGAGGTGTTACACTAAAAGAGGTTCATTTACAAGAAAGATGTAAGAGATGGGTAATGGGCCTTTGATAAGTGTTCCACTTATGGAGGTGTTACACTAAAAGAGGTTCATTTACAAGAAAGATGTAAGGGATGGGTAAAGGGCCTTTGATAAGTGTTCCACTTATGGAGGTGTTACACTAAAAGAGGTTCATTTACAAGAAAGATGTAAGAGATGGGTAATGGGCCTTTTATAAGTGTTCCACTTATGGAGGTGTTACACTAAAAGAGGTTCATTTACAAGAAAGATGTAAGAGATGGGTAATGGGCCTTTTATAAGTGTTCCACTTATGGAGGTGTTACACTAAAAGAGGTTCATTTACAAGAAAGATGTAAGAGATGGGTAATGGGCCTTTGATAAGTGTTCCACTTATGGAGGTGTTACACTAAAAGAGGTTCATTTACAAGAAAGATGTAAGGGATGGGTAAAGGGCCTTTGATAAGTGTTCCACTTATGGAGGTGTTACACTAAAAGAGGTTCATTTACAAGAAAGATGTAAGAGATGGGTAATGGGCCTTTTATAAGTGTTCCACTTATGGAGGTGTTACACTAAAAGAGGTTCATTTACAAGAAAGATGTAAGAGATGGGTAATGGGCCTTTGATAAGTGTTCCACTTATGGAGGTGTTACACTAAAAGAGGTTCATTTACAAGAAAGATGTAAGAGATGGGTAATGGGCCTTTGATAAGTGTTCCACTTATGGAGGTGTTACACTAAAAGAGGTTCATTTACAAGAAAGATGTAAGGGATGGGTAAGGGGCCTTTGATAAGTGTTCCACTTATGGAGGTGTTACACTAAAAAAGGTTCATTTACAAGAAAGATGTAAGGAATGGGTAAAGGGCCTTTGATAAGTGTTCCACTTATGGAGGTGTTACACTAAAAGAGGTTCATTTACAAGAAAGATGTAAGGGATGGGTAAAGGGCCTTTGATAAGTGTTCCACTTATGGAGGTAGTTACACTAAAAGAGGTTCATTTACAAGAAAGATGTAACAGATGGGTAATGGGCCTTTGATAAGTGTTCCACTTATGGAGGTGTTACACTAAAAGAGGTTCATTTACAAGAAAGATGTAAGGGATGGGTAAAGGGCCTTTGATAAGTGTTCCACTTATGGAGGTGTTGCACTAAAAGAGGTTCATTTACAAGAAAGATGTAAGAGATGGGTAATGGGCCTTTGATAAGTGTTCCACTTATGGAGGTGTTACACTAAAAGAGGTTCATTTACAAGAAAGATGTAAGAGATGGGTAATGGGCCTTTGATAAGTGTTCCACTTATGGAGGTGTTACACTAAAAGAGGTTCATTTACAAGAAAGATGTAAGGGATGGGTAAAGGGCCTTTGATAAGTGTTCCACTTATGGAGGTGTTGCACTAAAAGAGGTTCATTTACAAGAAAGATGTAAGGGATGGGTAAAGGGCCTTTGATAAGTGTTCCACTTATGGAGGTGTTGCACTAAAAGAGGTTCATTTACAAGAAAGATGTAAGGGATGGGTAAAGGGCCTTTGATAAGTGTTCCACTTATGGAGGTGTTACACTAAAAGAGGTTCATTTACAAGAAAGATGTAAGAGATGGGTAATGGGCCTTTGATAAGTGTTCCACTTATGGAGGTGTTACACTAAAAGAGGTTCATTTACAAGAAAGATGTAAGAGATGGGTAATGGGCCTTTGATAAGTGTTCCACTTATGGAGGTGTTACACTAAAAGAGGTTCATTTACAAGAAAGATGTAAGAGATGGGTAATGGGCCTTTGATAAGTGTTCCACTTATGGAGGTGTTACACTAAAAGAGATTCATTTACAAGAAAGATGTAAGAGATGGGTAATGGGCCTTTGATAAGTGTTCCACTTATGGAGGTGCTTCACTAAAAGAAGTTCATTTACAAGAAAGATGTAAGAGATGGGTAAAGGGCCTTTGATAAGTGTTCCACTTATGGAGGTGTTACACTAAAAGAGGTTCATTTACAAGAAAGATGTAAGGAATGGGTAACGGGCCTTTGATTAGTGTTCCACTTATGGGGGTGTTACACTAAAAGAGGTTCATTTACAAGAAAGATGTAAGAGATGGGTAATGGGCCTTTGATAAGTGTTCCACTTATGGAGGTGTTACACTAAAAGAGGTTCATTTACAAGAAAGATGTAAGAGATGGGTAATGGGCCTTTGATAAGTGTTCCACTTATGGAGGTGTTACACTAAAAGAGGTTCATTTACAAGAAAGATGTAAGAGATGGGTAATGGGCCTTTGATAAGTGTTCCACTTATGGAGGTGTTACACTAAAAGAGGTTCATTTACAAGAAAGATGTAAGAGATTTGTAACAGGACCTTGTTATGTCTTCCACTTAGGGAGGTGTTCCACTAAAAGAGGTTCATTTACAAGAAAGATGTAAGGAATGGGTAAAGGGCCTTTGATAAGTGTTCCACTTATGGAGGTGTTACACTAAAAGAGATTCATTTACAAGAAAGATGTAAGAGATTTGTAACAGGACCTTGTTATGTCTTCCACTTAGGGAGGTGTTCCACTAACAAAGGTGTTCCACTTAACAGGTTTTACTGTATACACTGTACTGCTCTATCAGCATACATTTATTTTAACAACTGTATTATAAGATAAAATATTGATTGATTTTAACATATTTATTTGAATTAACTCTTGCACACTCATTGATTCGAAGAAGACAATTCTACCTGGTGTGATTTATGTAAATTGCACGATGGTGAACAAAAGAATTCACATTATCATGCTCTAATTTAGCTGTCACACCTCAGCTGTGTGAGGTCACCGTTTGCCACCATATGACCACTTTAGGGCAGACAATGGGGCACAGCTTGAATACACAGTGAGCAAAACAAATAGTTTTACAACAAGGTATCCCCCATCACACCAAATACAAAATATCAATTAATCAATTCAAAAATTAATGCCCAAAATCAGCCATAAGTTGGCGAATGATGAGTCCACATGGCTAATGTGACAGCTACTGTTGATGTTATTTTTTAAACTGCAGGTGGCATGAAATTCAGCACAAAATTTTATATTAACAGGAATGTAACATTGATTGACTCAATGTATTTTCTTTAATCCCGTTATCCTAATCTGTTAATTAAGTTTTGAATTAATCTATGTAATGATGCTAAAGGCATTGTACTTGTATAAGCAAGCAAAAACTGATAAAACAATTAGCTAAATTAAATTGATATAATTATGCAGCAATTTTAGGTGTGGCTAACAAAAAGGCTATAAATTTTAATATTTCACATATCAGATGTTATTTCATGTCATTTCAAGCAGTTAAGCTTGCTTGTTTGCTGAACCCAATCTGATTACTGAAACTCTAAAATTCATGATGTCATCATAATTTTATAAGCAATCAAGTAGTTGAAACTTTATGTCGCAAATTCAAACTCCTTTTCAATGCCTTTAATATCCTTCAGTTCATAAATTCAAATATTTACTATTTACTATAAATAGATAAAGTTCAAATATAATCGTTTGTTAAATATGTTTTATTATGTGAAGTAAACAAGAAAATTCAAAAATAGAAATTCTGAACTTTCCCGTAAAATAGTTTTTATACTGCGTTATAGAAATATAAAGTACAGTGTGAATCAACTATATTTTTAAAACAGTCCAGCTATTACATACATAAGTGTTTATATACAATGTTAGGACAGAGTATGACATCATATACATATATATGACATCAGTAATATTGGATTATATTATGACATCTGAGTGTGAGAATGATTGATTATATGACATCAAATACAGGATCGAATGACATATAAGATAAAATAGTTTAATACAGTGTTTTTTTTATGATATTTTATAGTTAGTGAGATCAAGAAAAGGATTTTGCAGCGAGTTGAGTCGATACCTGATGGAGGTGGGGCGACATCTGGTGGTGTGACATCAGGAGATGAACGAGCAAGTCCAACCCACAAAGGAAGGTAAGCAGATGTCTGGTGATAAGGGATATAGCAAAATGGCTAAATTATTTTTCTAGTCACCAACTTTTTGTGGACAGTTTTCAGCAGTTGGTGGTTGGTGTTGGGCATTTAGTGATAGGCATCTGTTACAAATGGCAGGTGGTGCTATTTTGCATCTTAGTGCCTTGTTTCTTTTATTGTGATTTATTGAAAGATTTGACCTGACTCTGTTAGTGCCTCAAATATGGGCTTAGCTCTGCCTTTAAGGGATTACATGAATCAAAAATTAATTAATTATATTTTTGCCTGGTCCCTTATTAACATGTATTCTGACAAAACTGGCACATACAGTCTGTGTAAATTGTAACCACTTGGATAGCCTTCACAAACTGGTTGCCAAATTCTCATTGTATCTTTTCTGTTTATGAAATGTCCAAAATTGGTCTATATATCTCACATTTTCGTGCTTTCACATTTTTGACTGCTCATCATCCTGCTTCTCCAGTACTGGGGAAATCACTGATGGACCAGCGTTTATATGATAGTTTGTTGTCTTATTTGCATTGAAGTGATCGGTCGTTAAAATACCATAGTATTTGAAAGTTAACAGTTGCCCACAGTTGGAAATAGATTTGCAGCAAGTTGGGAATTTTGTCAAAATTAACTCATTCAATACTGGGGCAAAAAGCACTAAAATACTGAAGAATTTTTGAAAATTGCCATATATGGTACCTCTGAGATAATATATAAAGTATACACATGGGCATAAATAGGTTGTGTTATATATCATTTTAAAGCATATGATATACTCTTTCAGAATCAATAGGTTTTTAAGTCCCATTTTATAAGTTGTCATGGTTACAATATTCTAAAAATACATTGGGTTTGTGCTTGGACGTGATATCACACCCTTTGTAGTCAATGTATGTGCTTTATGACGTCATATCACGTCATTCGTAGCGAATGAGTTAATGCCCTTTTGATAAACATGGAGGAACTATTAAAAGTTTAAGATTAGTTTTTGCCATAGTCTCATGAAAGATTAATCATTTTAGGAGGCGACGAAGAAAGTCAACACGACGTAGCAGCGTTAGCTCACACCATGATGAAAAAACCCTGATAGAGAAAGAGGCTAAGAAACGGGAAGAAAATAAGTTAACTGAAGAAGAGAAATCAGCTGTAGGCCAGGTATGGACCAACCTTGTCAATTGTTTGATTTTATTTCCTTAAAAAGAGATTCCTTGAATAATCTTTCGAAATAACAAATATCACCCTTGGTATACGCAGCTAACGAGAATTGACCGGTACGGGTCAAAAGCTGCACCGGTACGGGTTAACGCTTTTATTTGAATTTAAAATAGCCATAACTTGCTCAATATTGACTTCCTCGTGTCTAATTTGAAATATATGATGCCTCCCGATGCTTTTAAGTACCCCAATTTTTTACAGATTTTTAAACGGACCAAAACTCTCTAAATGCGCATTTATGCTCTTTTCTCTCGAGAACGACTGTCTCATTTTCACGATAACTTTTATCTAGTACTTCTAACATATAAGATCTATTTTCCCCCATCAAGGTATGATGTAAATGACATGCTATTTACATCTTGTGAGTTTCAATGACGAGCGTTTGATTTTAAAAAATGCCAAACTTTGTGACAAAGAATTTCATCCTGCTTGCAGCGAGAAGACGGACCGGTTCAGGGCAATCTACTTGCAGCGAGAAGACGGACCGGTTCGGGGCAATAGCTGATGAAATTCTTTGTCACAAAGTTTGGCATTTTTTATAAAATTAAACGCGCGGCATTGAAACTCACAAGATGTAAATAGCATGTCATTTACATCATACCTTGATGGGGAAAAATAGATCTTATATGTTAGAAGTACTAAATAAAAGTTATTGTGAAAATAAGACAGTCGTTCTCGAGAGAAAAGAGCATAAATGCGCATTTAGAGAGTTTTGGTTTGTTTAAAAATCTGTAAAAAATTAGGGTGCTTAAAAGCATCGGGAGGTATCATATATTTCAAATTAGACACGAGGAAGTCAATATTGAGCAAGTTATGGCTGTTTTAAATTCAAATAAAACCGTTAACCCGTACTGGTCCAGCTTTTGACCCGTACCGGTCAATTTTCGTTAGCTGCGTATACCAAGGGTGAAATATGAATAGTAACTGATGTGCATCCCACTAGCTGCAAGCTATCGCACCAAACCAATTGCTGATCTAAATAACTGCCTATTTAGCAGCATGTAACAATGACTTGTGATCTGTTCGCTAATTCAACCCTAAAGCGGCTTTATTATAATTGATCGTAACAGGGATTTTAAAAATCATGTGATCACTGATCAGGACACTGTTCGGGATTAACTGGTTCGATTAATCAACTTCAAAATGGCGGCTTAATTTATGAAAATTAATAGGTTAATCCAGTGGCTGACAGCCAAAAGATTCAATCACAAAAACAAGCTTTATAAATGTTTTTATCATGTTTTATATTTTTAGGTTGACAAACGTGTTTACTTAGAATACCTGACTGCCTTGGGTTTGTGGATGGCTTCTGGAATATTCTTCTTCTTTGCTTTATACCAAGGTGCAAGCATCTTCTCCAACATCTGGCTAAGTCAGTGGACTGAAGACCCCTTGTTGAAGAATAAAAGCGTACCAACAAACAACTCGGAAAAAGTCTTCAAGATTAATATGTATCTTGGGATATATGGAGCATCTGGTGTTTTGCAAGGTCAGTATCTTTATTTATTTTGGGTATGGTGCAACTTTAGTGCTAAAGCGGGTGATAAATATATCCAAAAGAAGATATGATATATCATAACTGTAGTTAGGGGATAATTAAGGGGTTTATTCCCCAAACTAAAAAACTTAAGATATTTGATTGGAAACCACTATTTTTGCATTAAAATCTCCCATTTCAAAATTCACCAATCAAGGTGGTTTATAACTGAAATAAACAGGGTGACACAAAAAAGGGGACCCTCAAATTTAGGAATACCTATGACTCCCAATTTCCAAAAATAAATAAGAAAGTTATTCCAATGTTAAAGGGTTACATTTTTGTGCCACCTATGACATGAATCGGGTGTATCATTAAGAAATATTTAATACATATACATGCACTTTTACATTTCAGCTATCACCGTACTACTCTATGCCTTCGTCACTGCCTTTGGAATGATTAAAGCCTCACGTGTTATGCATGCCAAAATGCTGTCAAATATTCTACGATCACCGATGTCATTCTTCGATACTACACCTCTCGGTCGCATCCTCAACCGATTCAGTCGAGACATCGAAACGATTGATAACAACCTCCCTGCACTGTTTAGGAGCTGGATTAATACCGTCTTTACTGTGTTTAGTACCATCATTGTGATTTCATACTCAACACCAATATTCTTAGCTGTCATTCTTCCACTTGGGATTCTCTATTATTTTATTCAGGTTTGTGTTTTAGCTTTTTCATTTGTTTTCAATCTTGCATTTTCATTTGAATTTTTGAAGGAAAATAATATTCAAGTACAATCAAATTATTTTGTAAAATGCGCTTATAACATATTCTGTGAAATGGGCTAATATTTGGAAAATGACTTAATCAGGAAATTTTGGAGACTTTGGTGTATCTTTGTATATATATTTTCAAATCATCACGAAATAGTGGTGACATACAGTATATGTATAAGTTTAGCTTCAAGTTTTCGTAACATGTTCAACATGGGTATCTCTAACCAAGAGATACTCTTTTGCGATTTGGTACCAGGTGGTTGACATTTTGTCATGTTAGTGCCTCCTTTTTTGTAATTTGTAATGTATTGCATGACATTTTTATTATCTTGAATGAGTAAGTCAATTGTTGGATACCAATTACTCAGATGCGAGTAGGTAGTTACCAGTTTCGCCACCAGGTGGCTGATTCGGGGGAATTAACATGGTAGGGTATTACAAAATTCCCTTAAACTTGAATATGCATCAGTTTTAATGGTTCACTTTTCATATTACCTTTATGTATCTGATAGTTATACAAATTAATATATGTCCAGTAAAAGAAAACATTATCTGCCCAACACAAGAAAAGATATTTCACTTTTTGTGGTTTTACAACATGGGCTCTATGGGGAATCTCCCCAACCTAGAAGTCACATTTTCAAAGAAAATTAAATTTTCAAAGTTGATAAACTCTTTTCAAAACCACATTTATAAATGTAATTTTACATGTAGATTCCAAATATGACATCAGTTTGACTGAATTGTGAATTTTAATAACGTAAATCAAGATTATTTCTACTTGCATCTGGGATATTCAGCATCCTATTATTGCAATCACCATACATACTTAAAAAGTCCTATGTTTTCTTTGTAGAGATTCTACATCCCAACTTCACGACAATTGAAGAGGATTGAGTCGACGACCCGGTCTCCCATCTATACGCACTTTAGCGAGACAATCGCTGGGTCAAGTACAATTCGGGCTTATGGAGTTAACGACCAGTTTATTTTGGAGGAGGAAAGAAAAGTAGATCACAACCTGGTGTTTTATTTCGCACAGATAGCATCAAACAGGTAGATTTGTCGATTCTAGTTGTGCTTACAGCCCCTAAATACTCACTCTGGAACCATGGTACTGTACAGTACGGTACATTGTCGATTCTAGTTCTGTGCTTCCAACCCCAATCCGCACTCTGGAATCATGGTACTGTATGGCATATTAAAAAAACTTTTGCAACAAAATATGTCCAAGCTAGTTTTAATACTGTATATATGAAATTAAAATATTTTGTTCTAAGTAGAATAAAATGGTTTTAATAAAAATGTATATTTAAAGGATTCATCCACTTATATTTCAGGTGGTTAGGATTCCGGCTAGAGTTTTTGGGAAGTTTGATTGTTTTTTCTGCTGCGATGTTTGCCGTGATTAGTAAACAGTCAGGCATCAGTGGAGGTCTCGTTGGATTGTCTATTTCATACGCTTTACAGGTAAAGTATATTTAATATCAAACACCTGAAGCTGTAGTGTATTTACATGTATACTAGAGCAGTGTCAACTACAGTTAGGAAAAGTTAGGTGCAGTTCTCAGTTCTTATACATGTACCTCTCAGCTCAGTCAGTTTTTCTGTTCATATATACTGTACTTAACTCTTAGCAGTCTGCCGATGATTTATCTTGCAAAATCAGACATTCCCTGCGGTCTGCCGACAAGATAACTTGCACTTTAGGTACTTGCGGTTATGCTAAAGTTCATTTAGAAACAAAAAATATGCGTAGTGTTGATAATACATACCCAACACTTGATGACCAGATCAAAAATATATTGTTTTGTAGCCTAAAATTTAATGGTTATTAACTTATTATGGTCAAATTGTCCATTTTGCTCGGACCAGGGCAGCAAATACTGGGATTTAGTTTAGACTGCTAAGAGTTAACATAGGACCAAATGATTCTAAAGAATAGGACAATACATATGATCATTACCATGTTTTTTTATTTTAGATTACAGGGTCATTGAACTGGGCAGTGCGTATGACAAGTGACCTGGAGACAAACATAGTTTCAGTGGAAAGAGTGAAGGAATACAGTGAGACACCAACAGAGGTACATCAAGTTCTAGATCTGTTCAATATCCAGATTTTTGATCAGTCTGCCTTTGAATATTATTAAAAAAGTTTTATGTTTATTGAAAATAGGACCACAGACTCAAATCCAATTTAACGCTAATAACCATGAAGTTTTTGCAAACATAGGATTAACTGTATACTATCAATATCCTTAATTTCATTTAACAGCTACATTGCACTTTAATGCTTGGAATACAAGTTCTCTAAGACATGTTCTGCTCAACTGAATTTCGCTTTGATGTTGAAAATACAAGTACTCTCAGCTCAACTACACAAAACTGATTTGTCTTAATTTATTTTTAAATCATAGGATGAATGGCATAGAGAAGAAACAGCACCCTCCCAACAATGGCCAGAGGCTGGGAAAGTTGTCTTTGAGGGTTACCAAACCCGATACCGTGAGGGACTAGATTTAGTGCTCCGTGGTATTGATGCAAACATTGTGGGTGGTGAAAAGGTACATTCTGTTCACTATTTTATCCTAATTTTATCAGCTTTTCTATTAAATATACCCCATTTTTCATTAAAATAAAAATGTCAAAGTTCTTTTGTTTATAGAGACAGATTCATGCGTCAATATGACAGTAAGCCTGCTCTCGCCCAAGACCCAATAGCTGAGCTAAATAACGATTTAATCTGGTATTAAAGCAGCAACTAACACCCACTATCGAGGTGTTCAGAATTGTAAATAGCTGAAGTACACCTGGCGCATTCGCATAGACACAAAACACATTTTAAGTTTGTTTGATCATGTGACAATGGCATAAAAAGTCATGTGATCACTGCTAGTCGACAAATTGGTTGTTCAATATTGCAACTTCAAACTGATGGATTAATTTATGCAAAGCAATAGGTTAATCTGGTAGCTGCTATTTGCATTCATTTATAAGACTCACCATAATTCATATAATTACTATGTTTTACAGGTTGGCATAGTTGGTCGTACTGGTGCCGGGAAATCTTCATTGACGCTATGTCTGTTCAGAATAATTGAAGCTGCAGGAGGCGCTATCTTTATAGATGGTGTAAATATTGCACATCTCGGACTTCATCAACTCAGATCTAAACTCACTATTCTGCCCCAGGTAAAGTGCTTTTATTGGTTCACCTGGTCAGCCTTTGTCATGGACAACTCATCGATCTGTTTCTCTTTCCGTTCATCAATCATTCACAGTTTTTGGACAAATTAAATGTGCCCTTTATCTTAATATCAGTTTAATTGATGCCTTGATCCTGGCTCCTACTTTTGTCTCTTTCATTGAATGGCCCCTCTGCACTAATTGTTGCACCTTAAATGAATCAAAACATGCATGTTCTAATTCGTTATAATCTCATATTTTAGGATCCAGTATTATTTTCCGGCTCTCTCCGCATGAACCTTGATCCATTTGACGTCTACTCTGATGAGGAATGCTGGGAAGCTTTAGAACACGCTCATTTGAAGAATTACGTCTCTGGTCTGGCTGCTGGTCTCGAGCATGAATGTGGAGAGGGTGGACAGAACCTCAGGTAATTTCTAGGTTTATTTGTTGTATCGTGCAACATGATTTGTCTTCGCATTTTGATGAAACAGCTGATTTTTTGCCTTTCTGTAGAACAGAGACAACTGGTCTTTGAAATGTATGTATCATACTGTATGTACATATTACATCTATACATGTAGTTCAAGCTAATGAGAATTTTTGTGATAAGATCACTTTTCTAGTGTCTAGGGTGATATCAATCTGATAACAGAAAAGCCATGACATTTCAAGGTTGAGTCAATTTGAGATTACAGAATTGTGATTGAGAAAAAAAGATTTACTTTGAGTGCTGTTCAGATTAAACCTGGGTCACATTTGGTCAAGTTTATTGACCGGCTCCCAGCCAATTGATGATTTGCGATCACCGAATGGATTCTGTCTTTTAGTGACATCACAATTAGGTCACCCAGCTTTAGATGCTTGATTTTGAGAGATTATCTTCTATATTTCGTGCTTTATTGATTTATTTTTCACAAAAGCGTTCTATTTGACTAGATCAACATTCATGCTAAGCACATACCAAGTCTAAGGTCTTACTGACATGATTTAGATAGCGGTTTAGCGCCCCCCGATTTTGACAAAAACGGGGGGCGCTTATAGGCATCGATGTTTAGTATGAATTTCACCCAAACTTCGCATATATATAGACATACTCATGATCTAGTCAAATCGGCATACCTGGTAAATATCCGACCCATGGTTTTTATATAAGAAACGACAATATTTTTAGCTCAAAACTGCCACGTGTCCGCCATTTCGTGATTCCATCATGTCTAATATCATTTCTATATGACGTCACACCAATAAGACGAAATACATGACAACAGTATCCATAAACAAAATTCCTGAATTCTGATCGCAAAAGGTCAATTGAGTATTTTGTTCAAAACTGAATATAATTTTGAACAAAATACTCAATCAGCCAGGCGCTGGTTGATGAATCGGAGCAAATGTGACTCAAGTATTAGACAGGAGTTGGTATATACAGGTTTTACTGTACTGTGTTATAGTGTGGGGCAACGGCAGCTGGTATGTCTGGCACGTACACTTCTCCACAAGACCAAGATCCTCATCCTTGATGAAGCAACAGCTGCAGTTGATTTGGAAACAGATGAACTTATTCAGCAGACAATCCGTGCAGAGTTTGCAGACTGCACTATCTTAACCATAGCACATAGACTCAATACTATAATGGATAATGACAGGTATGTAAATTACTTGGCTGCCATTTTGAATTTTTGATAAAAACGTGTGATATTTATGACTGTGTGCCTTGTTACACTGAAACATCTAATCCCATACCATACGCTTTTCTAAGAGTTGTGGACCCTGCATCCAAGTACTCATAAAATGTTCATAAAAACATTGTTTCATTGACTTATTTCTTTCTCTTTTCAGAGTAATGGTATTAGACACAGGTAAAATCGCAGAGTTTGATACCCCTAATGCACTACTTGAAAATAAGGACAGCATTTTCTATGGAATGGCAAAAGATGCAGGTCTTACATAAAAACAACAACACCATTGAAAATTTTAACATGCAGCTATCATATAGAATGAAAATTCTGTCATTCATTTAGAACAACCATTGGCGGGCATGAGCCGTTTGTAATTCTTGGTTGAACAGGGTCAATTAATTACAGATTGACCCTAGAGTATTGGACTGTAGGGAAAAGGGCCTTTAATGATAGTTCTGAATAGTTTTGCAGTCTGGGCTTGGAATTTTTTCATGAAGGTTCTTATGACTGAAATATCAAATGGTCATCATGGAAACTATGAATAAAAATAATTCAATAATCCACAGAATTTTTAGTACTATATTTTGAATTATTTTGTGATTCTGTGTAACATTCAGAGAATATTTTAAGGCAAGTTATGATATATAAGCCAAATATTTCGTTCGAACAAAATTCAGAATCAATCAAATAATGGCCCAATCATTTCTTGAGATGGATTGGTTTTTCTTTTTTCTATACTTCACAACATCATAACATTTGTAAAAAAAGATCTTTAAATCATTTATTTCAACTCATTAACATTTGGTTGATCAAGTCTCCATGTATATGGGGGGGAATATTTTTCAGAACACTACCAGCTTATGATAAAATCAATCAAATAATCGTACATGTAGCTTTGCTCTGTCAGAAAAGATGAATGATCCTAATTCCTGTGCAGTTTTAGCTCACATGGTGAGATTTGGCCTTTGGCCGATGCTACTTGTTTGTTTGGCTGTTCATCTATCTTTCAACATACAACAACAATAGAATAGTATTGGTGGAACATTGAATTCAGATTTTCGTTATTTTACTCCTCATTCATTGATGGAAACAACCTCACTGTGTGCGCTAAAAACTCATGATTTGTCTTATTTAATTATTATTAACTATATAACGCAATAAGGCTTTGTTTTTAAAATCAAACTGTGGGTTATATATTTTACACTGTAGAACAAATCCTTATCTATATATTTCATAGTATAATTATCTCTTCATATACATTATACTTGTCCAGTTAAATCAGTCAGAATTAGATAGTTTTTGTATTTTGTCTGTAATGCTTTTATATATACTCTGTATTTATCTGCAAGGTATTTTTGATAACAAATGATAATAATATATGTATTGTATTGAGTATTGACAGAAAACGTATACTAGAATTTAGCATGTAAATATACTGCATCGACTAATCTGTCGTCTGAGACTAAAACATGTACAGTAAAACCTGTATAAGTGGAAACCTTTGGTACATCTAAAAAGTGTTCCATTTGGGAGTTTCACTTACAGGCTTCAATATTCAATTTACATGTAATCCGTTGGTTTTGACTCGGTGTTCCACTTCTAGAGGTGTTCCACTTCTACAGGTGTTCCACTTCTACAGGCGTTCCACTTCTAGAGGTGTTCCATTTACAAGTTTCACTGTACTTACAAAAGAATGTGTAAATATTATTTTATGCACAATTTGTGAATGTATTGAGGGCATATAATATTCATATATTTGCCGAATTGTGTGAGATTATTACCATATATGGATGTGTATGGGCAACCAATGAGCTAATTGGAGCTTAGATCAAATTGCTTATATCATGATCTTTTTATAAAATTATTTAAATATTCGAAAAAAATTAAGATATTCTGGCATTGCTGCAATGAAAACAGACATGATCTGATATGATCTGATGAAATGAAACTCATTGGTTCACATTGAATTTTGGATATTTCGCCATGCTTACGTGTATCAGTTTACTATTTATTATCAGGTGTCAATTCATATCCAGTCTATTATCACTATCAGCTACCCAGTCAGTTCAGATCCAATCTGTAATCAGCAAGCCAGTTCAGATCCAATCTGTAATCGGCAAGCCATTTCAGATCCAATCTGTAATCGACAAGCCAGTTCAGATCCAATTTTTAATCAGCAAGCCAGTTCAGATCCAATCTGTAATCAGCTAGCCAGTTCAGATCCAATCTGTAATCAGCAAGCCAGTTCAGATCCAATCTGTAATCGGCAAGCCATTTCAGATCCAATCTGTAATCGGCAAGCCAGTTCAGATCCAATGTGTAACTGGCAAGCCAGTTCAGATCCAATCTGTAATCAGCAAGCCAGTTCAGATCCAATCTGTAATCGGCAAGCCATTTCAGATCCAATCTGTAATCGGCAAGCCAGTTCAGATCCAATGTGTAACTGGCAAGCCAGTTCAGATCCAATTTTTAATCAGCAAGCCATTTCATAGCCTTGCCCAAGTCGGTCTCTTTTACTTATCTTGATTTCTAATATGAATAATTCAAGATCAGATAAGTAAAAAAATACCGACTTGCGCAAGGCTAGCCATTTCAGATCCAATCTGTAATCGGCAAGCCATTTCAGATCCAATCTGTAATCGACAAGCCAGTTCAGATCCAATTTTTAATCAGCAAGCCAGTTCAGATCCAATCTGTAATCAGCAAGCCAGTTCAGATCCAATCTGTAATCAGCAAGCCAGTTCAGATCCAATTTTTAATCAGCAAGCCAGTTCAGATCCAATCTGTAATCTGCTAGCCAGTTCAGATCCAATCTGTAATCAGCTAGCCAGTTCAGATCAAATCTGTTATCGACAAGCCAGTTCAGATCCAATTTTTAATCAGCAAGCCAGTTCAGATCCAATCTGTAATCTGCTAGCCAGTTCAGATCCAATCTGTAATCAGCTAGCCAGTTCAGATCAAATCTGTAATCGACAAGCCAGTTCAGATCCAATCTGTTACATGCATTTGTGCTGATTGTGCCATTATTGCTTAACCAGTCAAATAATAATATGTTGAAAATCTGATTTTCACATACACATAGGCCACTGGGAATATTTTTCCAACCTTTGTAATTCATGGGACACCAAATGTCTTAAATTGTAAAAAATGTGACATTTTGTTGTGTTCAAATACTAGTACACAGATTTTACTGTAACTTTTTTCTATTTTATACAAAAAAATTATATCGATAAAGTATTGTTGAAATGTTTTCAGTGGCCTCATAGAGATCAGGGCTTTCTTCAAATTCTTCAATAAATGTCTGCAAATGACTCTGATCATGTTCTTACAATGAAGCTTTACCAATGAAAAAATCAGTGGAAAGATTTAGTCTTTTAATATAATCATGAATATAATTATATTTTGTAATTTTATATCACCAAATTTGCGAATCAGTCAGAATTTCTATTGTATTAAATTTACTTACTGCTTTATATCTGTATATATCCAATTAACAGCAAACATGAATTAACCCATATTGTAGTGATTTTGGTTATTGTACCAATTTCAAAAAAATAGTTTTAGTTTAATAGAAAATAAAAAATTGTAATTAACAGGTTGCGGTTGATCAAAAGTATTGTAAATTGTTCATGACAAAATTGCATCAATTAATAGTATAAGGTTTATGTTTTTTGAAACAATCTTAGCTAAGAGTAGGAAATCCTTCGGTTACCTAATAGCCATAGAAATTGCCATGTCATAATAGACTTATGGATTTCCAAATTAAGGTATGTTTCAAAAAATGTGCACTAGATTTGATGTGCAAAAATGTAACACTGCATGTCAAGGTAAAATAACAATTAGTTTTATCTGGAGGGGAAACGCTTTTATGTATACATTATTACAGGGTGTCCCAAAAAATTAAATAACTATGTGGTCATAGTACTTAGCCTCAAGTTCATCTTACACAGGGGACATAACTTCTTCATCTTGAATTTTAGGTGCATTGACTGAAAATATTTTGCAAATCCATTATGAATAAGAACTCAACTGAGCGTACTTGTACTTTCTTTTCATATATTGTACATTACTTTTGAACATTGATGGAGTGATATCATCATTTTCTCACGCTTACACTGTCGTGATTTTCAACTTGTGAATTTGCAATGTTGATTCAGCAAATTTTCTAAGAGGTTAGAATTATCTAAATAACAGCAATTGTGTAACATTCCTCATTTATCACATGACGGGACTCAGATTTGAATGTCATGTGTTTCAATTCATATCTTTGATGAACTAGGGTGATAAAATATTCTCAGTTTATGCAATGTTTATGTAATTTTAGGCCAAATGTTTCATGAGTTATCAATAAGGGACCCTCCCAGAAATTGATTTGAATTGTATACATCGCTTATAATTGTGAACAGGGAAAGTGCTCTTGTTCCATCAATGTAAAAAGGTCTACTCTTTGTATGTTGGAGAATCATAATAATAAAAATATGTCTTTATGAAGAACTAATCCAACTTGATTGTGTTTGTTATTGTTATATGCAAAGTTCCTGTTTCTAATGGAATTATTGTAAACACCCCAACATTTGAATTTTATCTGTTTTTTAAAGGAAAATCCATATTTTGAAGATAGCCAATCCAATCCACCTTTAACATGAATCCAATCCACTCGATCCAATCCACCTTTTAATCTTTACTCTTTTATATGCCCAGCATAACGAAAGACCTATACTACTCTTACGCCCAGCATAATTGAACCCATTTTGCCTGAACCTCACGTTTGCTGATGTTTGAGTAAGTCAGATTCCAAGTTTAAATGTCAGGATGTTAGTATAGAGGCCCATCTCACAAAAGTGCCCCAAAAATATACATTAATACGGAGCAAACACACAGACCACAAAAAAAAGTTGGGGAGGCTGCCACCTTTTGTAGGATCAGAAAACCAAAGATATAACTTATTGTCATTTGTTGTATCGAAGGACCAAATAGTACAGTAGGAACAAGGGGTTCCCATGCACCCATAAGGTGTGAATAAGTTACATACATTTTTGTAATCCCTAGGGTGTCTATTTAATGAATTCATTTGTTAACATTGCCAACTAATGTCCCATAGTACTTTTATGGCAGCATTCAGTTACCATGGTTACGCATCTTTAGACATCTTACCTTGGTATCTTAAATCATTTGTAGCTCTGTCATTATTTGGTCTATAGAAATGATATTGGTACCAAATTAAACCTCGTTAAATTTCCAATAAATTTATGACATTCAATTATGCAAATTATCTAATTTGCATAAATTATGACGTCATCAATCTATTTTTGGTTCAGAATTTCCAACTATAGCTACGTATCTATTAGAACTGAGGCCGTATGGCAAAATTTCTGAAAAGTTTTGTCCTTTATTCTATTAGTAGAAGGTATAAGCAACATAAAAGTGAAAACAGATTCAAAATTGAATCAGTATTACGAAAGTTATGTAACTTTCGAGGCAGCTATCGTGAATGTCATTATTTGACAATAATATACATACGTCTTACCTTGGAGTCTTGAATCAATGTAGCTTCGCCATTATTTGGTCTATAGAGATGATATTGGTATCTGATTAAACCTTATTAAATTTTCTATATGGTTACAATATTCAGTTATGCAAATTAGCTAATTTGCATTAATTGTGTCGTCATCAATCCATTTTTGGTTCAGAATATCCTAGTATAGCAACATATCTATTAGAACTGAGGCCGTATGGCAGAATGTGTGCATAGTTTTGTCCCTTATTTGATGAGTGGAAGATATAATCAACATTAAAGAGACAACAAATCTTCAAAATTGGATCAGAATTAACAAAATTATCCAGCTTTGGAGGCACCTACTGTGAACGTCATTGTTTGACAATAATAAAAAGAATATTAAATTAACAAAAAAAGTGACAACCATAGTTGTTTCAATCTTATTGAGTAAAAATGTGCATGTATTGAACTGAACTTATAAGTATGTGGAAAGGTTACATGTATTTTGACTATCATTCACAGGGGTCAAAACGGTTATCTCGACCCTGTATATTAAAGATCCAATTTTATAATTTACCATGCACTTTCAATGATTCATATAAATAGTATACATATAGTCTGATTTTCATTATATTCATCATATTCTTCATATTTTTGATTCTTAAAGCATCTGAAGTATAAAGCATGATTAGAAGTGAAGATGATTCATCATATGGTTTATGTAATATTTCTAACATTTCAGATGCTATGGTAACATCACTTGATAATGAGGTTTTTACATTTCACATTCTTAATGAGTTAAAAGAAAGTTATT